GCTCCTGAGACGCTGAAATCAGTGTGTAGGACAGTGTCTACCCCAGCTGCCTCCTGCCTCGGCCACGATGGCCATGGGTTCAGCCCGTCGCCGGTGGAAGCACGAGCAGACCTTCTTAGCTGCTAAGTGCTTTCTGCTGGTCAGGTGAGATTTGTTCAGCTGACAACAGTGAACAGGACAGGTTGTGATATAGAGCAAAAACCTATCTATATTATAACTCAAGTTTTTTGAAGTTTTGCTAAAGATTTCATAATAAGCCCAGTAGTTTATTGTTTCCTATTGAATATTTATGAGACAGTGTCTGAAAGCAGAGTTTTAATGAAATTGTGCTTATCAAAAATGACTTAAGTGTGTACCCACAATACTTCAAAAAGGTAGCTTTACTGAAACTAATCAGCTAAGCTCATTTTTCAGCTGGCGATTTGTTAAAATTGTTACTTACTGTGGTACTTAAAGTCAAAATTGAGTATTCAAACGTGTTAATTTTAAGCTTTTCTATAAAATTAAGTTTACTTTAAAGAAAGAGTGCCTAAAATGTGACTAAGTATAATAGAGTGAAAGAGAATTAACAACTTTATTTGGATGTGGACACTGTGAAATTAAAGCTTAAGTAAACATTTAAGGCCAAGTATAAGAAGTATTGGAAGAACGTTCCAAACCAGGAACACAATGTACGTTGAGTTTGTATTTACAGGGTTCTCTGCCTTCCCTGAGTGTAGATTTCATAGCTCTGCCATTGCCCTCTGACAACGAAACTTAATCTTTGTTAATACTGGCCTTGGTCTCTCCAGCATAAGCACGATGATGATCTCAGGATAACACAGTCATGAAAACATGAACCACCCTCTTAGGAGCACCAAATGCTGCCTCAAGCTGCTAAGCCCTTGCTCTGCCCTGCTCTGCCTGTCAGTTACTTTGGCAATCAGCTGCAATCTCTTACACCTATTCAAACTGGCTATGGAAGTGCCATAAAATGTTCCCATTTAGCAATGCTTTACATTCCGATGTGCATGAAAACTTCTGCAGTAGAGACAAAGTATGGGAAATCAGACCTGGATGAGTGCCACTCAGTTTTCCTTCTTGGCAACTTACAGAAGTTTCCAGGGTACTGAATTTCATGTTTGATAAAACTGGAGTATTTTAGAACATGTATCATAGTAGTCAGCTCAAGGAGAGTGAAAGGTTTTCAATATAATTTTTGGCATTTTTCAGAAAAATATGAATATTTGCTTTTTTATTAAATTATCTTCATATAAAAGAAGATTAGGCTTTCACCCTGGCACAACATTACCTCTAAGATTACCATTGTAAGCATTCATCTGCCTAAACTAGACTGGTGACAGTAAGAAACGGAAAGCCTCTCTGGGGCATCCTCAGGCAGCTTTGTACCACTGTCCTGGGACAAGTTTGTTTGTCCTGATAATTGCTATTGGATTATTGATCCAGTGATCTTTTCTAGCTACCATCATAACTGTATGTTTAGTTCGGATCTTTGCAGTTTATAGCACAAATTATATACTCCTTTGAAATTATTAAAATTTTGAGAGTAAGAGAATAAAAATGCATGTTTTATTGTAGTTGAAGCAACTCACTCATCATTTCTCTAAAGGCAAGTTCAAATTTGAAGGGCAAAAGCAGGATAATTCTCTGAATGCAAAGCATGGCAACAGCAACTCCTGCATAAGGACTGGAAGTGACATACCAAAGAATACCCCAGAGCTTCCCAGGAAACAGAGTCTGGCAGTGGACTGAGGATTATTAGGAATATGGTCATGGTGGTACTACCAGGGCTGTGAAAAACTAGTGCCAAAAGTTGACCAGCAAAAATAGTGCCGTAGGTAAAGTTTCAGAATTGTTTGTGCTAACCTCTAGCTTTTTCCTTTTGAAGAAGCATGTAATTCTCAGGTTTTCTTGCTTCTTCCAGTAACAAGATTGGGAGTGATGTGTTTCTTTTAACGGAAAGGGTTATAGGAAAGAGTAGTTCTGCCATACGCAGATGTCAGAGAACATTTCTTCTTGGCAAAGCAAACGGGGGAGAAAGAGTAAGAGGGCTATATAAAGCATGCTAGTGAAAATCTGCTTTCTGGAGATGAAATCTGAAAGGTGAGCCAGTTGTTTAAAACAAACAAAACCCCAAAACAAAATATACAAGTCCTCAAATGCCCTCCCCCACAAACCCCGAAACAAAAACATTGAAATGAAAAAGCATTTTTAGTGTTTTCCAGGTGTTTTGATGAACCGCCATATTATTATTAGGTGGATACAGAAAACCTCAGACTAGTTTTCAAACTGGAGTATCATAAGTGAAATTTAAAATCCCGCGTGAGCCATTGTTTTTTTCCATTTGTACGTGTGCCGCTTCGCAGGGTGGAGCTCAGACGGGCATTGCTAGAAAGGCGGCTGCAGGAGAAAAGGGAGCTGGCCCTTCAAGGAGCTCTTGAAGAAGAGGAAAAAGAGAAATGCCTCGAAGCACTCCGACAGCAGGTGGGTTATTTCCTGTCTGTAGTATTTGCATATACAGTAACGACATGAACACATACTGCCGTATGACGTGGAAGGTAGAAAGAACAATCTACCAAAGCAAATAAATGAAGAAGTTAAAATGCGCTTTTGGTCTGACTTCAACAGTGATTCTGTCGTGTTGGAAATCCTGTGTGCTTCGTAACTGACAACAGGAACGTTCGGATGTTAAATCGCTCTGTAGAAGCTGTTGATATCTGAAAACAGATACTCTGTTTTCCGCGTTGAATGTGATATCTTGTTTTCTTTGTGTTTTTTTTTTTCTGTTTGTTTGCTTTAATAATCTTATGTCTGCCTTGAGTCTTAGGCAAGATATATGAGTAATTTAAATTCTTCTTAAATTCTGAAAACTTACAGACCTTGGACAACATAGTTCACAGAGAGATTTAACTCCCTGTGAAACTTGCACGTTATTTTAAAAAGAACATCCCAGAAAACACTTGCTAATGTTTGTCATAGTAAATGTAGCATTATTTTTTTTTCTACTGCTGACTTTTCAAGGAGTAACTTTTCCATCATTTATATTTTTGTATCTAATCTCCTTGTTTTTTCCTCTAAAGATTAAAAGGGAAAACCTGGAGTTCACATTCTTTGCATTCCAGGAACTGCAGCCTAAATGCACAGCCAAAGGAGAATAAGGGAGAGAGAAGAGGTGCTCTTCAAACCCCTTTGGTTTCAGATAATTTAAACAGCGCTAAAGCAGCAGCTTTCTCCCCGGCACTGCCTGCGGTTGAAAATACAGTATTTGAGGCAGCCTTGACCTCACCTTCAGCGTGGCCTTTGGCTTCAGGGTTAACCCTCCCAGTACAGTGTGCGTGCCAGGGAAACTCTTCCTTAGCCCCTTGTGGACTCTTTGTGGCCTTGTGAGTGCTTCCACTTCTGCGTTTGGGTGTGCAAAGTCAAGAAGATGGAAGAATATAACAGAGATCAGATACTCCATGTTATCTTCTCTGGGAGAGCTGAGCATAACAGGAATAAATAAACCTTAAGGGATCATTGGTCTGTTATTTCAGTCATCTTTTAAACTGTTGAACTCAGGCTCATTTCCAGTCAATAATGCTTTATTTTTAATAATTTGATTCAATTAAATATTTTGCGGTATTAACTGTTGTTTTAGATTGTCAATGCATTTTTAATAATAACTATTATGTCTTTTCTAAGTTACTGGTTGTATTGCATTGTCTTTTGCATCAGATTTTCCAAGAGACTGATTGAGAGTCATGATCTGTTGATCTCTTCTGACCCAATTCTCCTACCAAAGAAGGATCACAGAAGGGTTTGGGTCGGAAGGGACCTCAAAGACCATCCAGTTCCAACCCCCCTGCCATGAGCAGGGACCCCACCACACCAGGTTGTCCAAAGCCCCATCCAATCTGGCCTTGAACACTTCCAGGGATGGAAAATGCTTCTAGAATGGCCTTTGACCAGGATGGTAGAGCTCCCACTTCATTACATTTTTCTAACCAATATTTATTTTCTGTGTTTCACACTAATGAAATACTGCTTCATAAAATATGCCCCTTGACTGGGGAGGGCAGGGGGAAGATCTTCAGTAAAGTCATCCAGTCTATATATTTTGACAGCCTGTAAATACAAAGATGACATTTTATTAAAGAGATGGGAAAAAATTACCATATAGAATTTAAAATATTTTTTCTGGTTTTAGCCAATTCGGATGGTGTCCTGACTTTGATTATTTTGCTCATGCATCTTTCTGTATTTTTCCAAAGTAGTATTGGGCTATATCTGAATGTTTTAACACAAAAAAACTAAGCAGTGAAAAAAGGTTGACTCTTGCACAATACAGTGTTTGAGAGAATCTTTGGTACTGATCTAGCCACAGGAAATTAAACAGTTAAAACAGATGCACTTAAGGAAAAAAACAACAATTATGTTATTTGTGGCCTATTGCTCCATATTGTTGCCCATGACTCTGTAGAAATTGTAAACTACTGATCTCAACACCTTCGTTTCCATCAGAAGAAAAAGCAAAAAGTTTGGACTTCCAGGAATCGTGGGTGTTGCTAAGCTGTGAGTCTGCCAGTTCCTCTTGGTTGCTGGTTTTGAACGTCCAAGCTCGTGTCGGTCTCTGCCGGAGAGCCGCTCTCTCTGCGGTGTCCGCGCGAGCCGGGGCCGCGCGCCGCCCTGACGGCCCCGAGACCAGTCGTGCCCCTGTTCGGGAAGTGTGTTCTCTGGTGGCCCAAAGCTGACCGTAAGCCAATTTCCTGCGGGCGTGTGACGAGGTAGCCACACAAGCTCTCCCTTCACGGAAATGCCATCCAGCTTTCAAGTTGGTGTTGTCAAGGACTGACAATTGGCACTCGCGATACGCAGGTTTTTCTGCGTTCTCCACTCCACAGCAGTTCTGGGCAGGCACAGTGCTCTAAGTCCCGCCAATTAAACTGTCTCCATTGGGAAACAGGAAAAAAATCTCTGGCTTTCATTCTCTGTCAAAGTGGTTTTACTCTGGATTCAAGTTTTAAGCTTTACAACCTTTATATATGGATACGAGGTGGTTTAAGACAACCTTGGAAACTTTTAAACCAGGTAAATGATCGTGTTCTCAAAGGATGCGTTATCGATAACAACCTTTTCTCACCTTTAGGTCCACCCAGAGTAATTGTTATGTTCGTGTCATGTGTTTTAGGTTGCTGTTGTTGCAAAATTGGATCCAGCCAGAGTAGTGGCTGATACGGTGGCATCTAAAGCTCGGATGGGCCTTGGAACCAAAGAAGAGTTTGATCTTCAGAAGCCACTGTTTAAGTTGCATACATACAGTGAACAGCAGGTAATTTTCTGTAATCGTACTGTATAGTTTATTGTATGCACATATATCTTAGCAGCGATATATAGTAATAATATATCCTAAATAGCAATGCTAACAGTAGAATATAGAACAAAACGTGTGTAAAACATAAAAACATCAGGAGTAATAGGTGGAGTAATCTCTCTGACCCAATGTAGACGCTGAAGGAGCACCAGAGTGTACCGCGAAGGTCCATTCAGGTCCAGCGTAGGACTCCTGGGCTCTCCGGGCACCGCACCTCCCGTTGCCACCACCGGCAGGAGGACACCGGGCGAGAGGGACCGTTGGGCAGTTCCTCTGCTTGCTGGGTGTTTTGACTGATCTGTTTGCTGTTTTTTCATTTCAAAATTCACCTCTTTTACATTTTTATGCAGTTATTTTAAAAAAATGCCTCCTTTCACCGGCTCCAGTCAGTGTCGTACTAAGTATTTGAGGTGAATTAACTCAGCAGAAGAGTTTTCCTGACTGTATACAAAAGAGCCACGTGACAGGTAGCTCAGTTATGGGGTATTCTTTTCCCTTGGAAGATTATGCACAGCACAAATCTCATCATAAGCTGAAAATTAGTATCTTGACTATATTTACGCTATTGCTGGACTGAAGGTCGGTTGGGATGTGATACCTAGGGCTAAAGGAGAAGAAACCTGTAAGGTGTAAATGAAGCAGGAAACTGAAGTAACTATGCTCATGTTTTCGGGTCACTCAGATCCCTGAGGACAGTGCTAGCTCAATTTCAAATGGAATAAAGCAACATGGGGGGGGTTTTTTGATTCCCTTACTGTTCCCCATCTGCTCAGTCTATGCATTTGAATTTATTCCCACTCTGGAATTTGAAAACTATGTTTACAGAAAGAGAAGTGCTATGATGTAATTCATGGTGTAAAAGCTTTCTTTTAGCACTGAATAAGCTGAAATTTAATAATGTCTGTGACTGAGCTTGTCCAGCACTTCCCATTTTAAGCCATTTTAAGCTTCTTAGTTTGGTAAAGGAGAGATGTGGGACAAGACATGTAGTTTTTGTTTGGCTATTAAAATTTACCCAAATCTGACCGATGTATGAGGTTCTGAAAAGCCTTAGCCTAAAAATGCTCTGAACCTGTGTATTGGGGATTGATACCTGAATTCTCAGAATATTCTTTCTGTTTTGACTCTGACCAGGTTTTGGTACTGCTCAGACTGCAATACGTGATTCCTGCCAAGTGTATTAGCGTGCTCCATCCTGGAGCCGCAGTGGTTAGGGATAATGTTCCCCAGTGTTGGTCTTCCCAGCAGCTCTGGGCACTGTGGCAGGTGATGCCAGAACCGACAATGCGACACTCTCTTGTACTCCCTCACTGTAGCCCATAGAAGGAGGATGTGGAAGACGCTTACAACTTTTGTCAAGTAACCTTCTGACAAATTTTAGAAGTAATTTCCCTGAGCATTAATTGTTGTTATGTCAAATGGAAGTGGCACTGCCATTTAGTCACAAGGCAACGCCGTGAGAAAAATGATGAACGCGTTCGAAGCACTCAGATTCCATGGAAACAAACAGGAAGGGGTTCCAAGTCTTGTGCTGCAAGCAGGGCTGTGTTGGTGCGGAATGTTGGAGGAGGCAGCGACTCCTCGGTGAGGAAGCTGAATTAAAAGTCGCTCCATTTCTCATCTACCCTTTGAGTTTTGCTGAGGAATGACAACCAGGGCTCTTTATTAAAATAGTTAGTGGTCATTAATATTAAAAAGGAGAGTATCCAGATGTATGCAGTGGGTTAAGGCTTGTTCACTGTAGAGTTTCTCTTCTTTTGAAGGCTTTATTTTTATGACCATAGTTTTCTGACTGTATTTTAAAACTTTTTAAATCCCTACATCCGTAGATAACCTGTAAGATACACTGTGTGTATGAGGTAAGTATTGTTTTGTTTCTATTTCTCGTTGCTGTGGTTTATTTAACAGATCATTTCTGACCCCAGACTTCGTGTTGAGCGAGCTCTTCGAGAAGCTGGACTTCATAAAACACTTTATGCAAAAGAGATTTTACCAAAAATCCCTCCACTGAAGCTTCCAAGAAGAGATATGGAATCTACAGCTTTTAAAATGTAGAGTGCCTCTTATATCAGGAGTAGAGACGCTTCTGAGGTATGGTCTGGCCTATAATGTGAGAACTTAAAATAAATTTCCCTTGGGCTGTGTCATACACCTCCTTAGCTCTCAGTGTGTGCAGTCATTCAGAAAAGCAGCGTGCCCTCCCCGTGCAGTGCTGCAGCAGCTCATGCCTGCCTCGCTGCACCTTTTGCAGAGGTTTGGTGTAGGCTACTGTAGCATAATTTCACGTGTCCCTTTGTGCTGGGAGACTGGACACCCGTACGTGGAAGACTCCCACAGATGTTACAGGCCAATCTGATATATCGCATCTCGAGTAGGAACTCTGCTTTTTTAATTGGCAGCATAAATCCAAAATAGCTTTGCAGAACAGTCTTTAGATCTAAACTTTAGATTATATTATGATACATAAATGCATCCCACAACTTTTGTTCCAGGTTGCTTCAGAATTTGATTCTTTTAATTATAAAATTTGCATTATCATGAATGTGTCTATTATTCCTTCATTATTTTAAGAAGAAACTTAACCTTTGTCTATATTTAGAAACCAATTTGCTGCATCATATTTACTGCAAACCAGTCATGCAATTTCATATTGTAGATTAGTCTCTCAATATACATTATAAATCAGAAATAATGTTTCAGATCTGGGATCTTTATTTTGGAGCTGAAACTACTGAATATGATTCTATTAAATGAAAGGGAAATTGATGACATTTCATTTTGTAACTGATTATGTTTTCAAGCCTTACATAAGATGAGTGTAGAATGTATGTAAACAAGTTGCAACTGGCAGTTTAACCAAAAATTTCTAAGGATGATGAATATCTGAAAGATCTGAACATCCATAGCTGTGTATTTAGATAATTGTGGAAATTGCGTTAATGCAACATTGTAATGCCTTGTAGGTGTTAATGGATCACATACCTACAGTGCCTTGTGAACAGTAATTCCTCGCTGTCGGAATGAGAAATTGAGGATCGGGGGTAGATGAGGGCCCTGACTGTGTTCTCCTGGTGAGACCACAGTGCAGGTCCAGCAAACACCGAGGGAGGTTTTGCTGCCAGCTGCTGTGTGCCACCTCATTCCCTGGCACGGGCAGCAGCCCCCTTTGCTTGACATGCTCAGCGACTGCACCAAATGTTTTGCAGTCAGAGAAAAGGAATGTGAATTTTTCACCCCTCAAACTGATAGCAGCATAAGCAAAACCTCGTAGCGTGAGCCTGGTCTCAGCAGGTGTCTCAGCCCTGGGGGAGGGACGTTTGCTGGGCCCTGGCTGTTCAGGGGTGCAAAGCCAGGAGCAGACGGGGACGCGAGGGGTGCTGGAAAGGCAGGGGAAGAGCCGTGCGACAGGCTGCCCAGAGCGAGCGAAGCTCACGACCAGGAGCAACGTAAGCTGAGTGCTGAAGCTGTTATTTAATGAGGGGAGAAATGCTGCAGAGGCTGCTCGAAAGCCATGGGAGCTGTGTGTCTTCTGGATTTAGCTTTTGCATGTTTCTGCTAAAATTACAGTTCTGTGTGTATTTGTGCATTTTATTTTGGTATCTCATTTGGGGTAACTTACTATTTTTAAAACACACTTGGCCAGCTTCACAACTGGTTGGATGTTCCTGCAGGGGAGACCAGCACTGAATTGCTTTTCTTCTGGAGACCAGATTGGCTTCTAGACTGCTTCCCAGAAACAGAAGATCCCAAACTTTTGGCAGTTGAATTTTTTTTTTTTTTGCCTCTAAAAGCAGATCGACGAGATATTCAGTGGTGCAAAATCTTTTCAGATTATAGTTCTCTTGTTAACTTTTATAAATACCAAGACATTTTGTAAAAAGGAAAGTTTAAATGAAACAGACATTTGTTTTTGAAATAAAGGGCTCTGATTTTTAGGCAGTGTCTTGTGATTGTCTTCACGTCTGCTGTTTCTCAGGGAATAGACTGAGCAGAAGGCCTCTTACGCTGATGAGTCTGTGCCAGCTCACTGCAGCCTTGAGTTGGGGCTTGTTGTTGATACAGTGAGGCTGGAACGAGGATCTTTAGAGGCACGTGCAGGTCAGTGAAACTGGCTTCAGGTATTTTGCTTGGCACAACCAGAGGCTGCCCTTGCCAGGAGGGCTCCTGCAGATGGCCGTGGCTGCTCTCCCTGCCCTGGCCAAGCGCCACCTCTCTTCTGTGCTCCTGCAGGAAGGAGGTGGGTGTTTCACCTTACTGGATTGTCCTGACCTTAGCGCTGCTCATAAGAGATGATCAAAACCCTTCAGGGAGTGGAAATGCTTATAAGGACATTTGTTTTCATGATAAATGATTTCTACACTTTCCTTAAAAAAAAGAAAATTTGCAAGTTATTTTTGTACAAAGATGTATGAAATTGCTTTCACAGAAATATAGTAATTTAGAAAATGTTAATGGAGAATAGACTTCTGAACCAGCATCTCTTGCAGTACTACTTTGTTGTTTTTGACTCGGTAAAGGTACCAGTTCAGAATTCAGCCATCCTTTATGCCAATGAACGAAGTCCATGCAGTTTGGCTAACAATCTGCTTTTTTAAAGCCTGAGAAAAACTTGATGAAAATTAAGTTACGCGGTTTCAAGATATACTACTTATCTGTGAATTTTGGTAGTCGGAAAAGTGGCTTAAATGTTGAATAGTGCCTGAAAGTCAAACATCCAGCTGGCACAAGATGAGTTGATGCAGTATCCAGCTGTTGCAAAACACTCAGTTTGTGCCAGCCTATGTGCATGTAAGGTTACATGCACGTTTATGTGTGTATTTATAGAAAAAGAAAAACATAAGTGATGGCGAGGCCTGTTTTGACCCTTCTGAGAATAGAGAGGGTTTTGCAGCAATGGTCAATATTTTGAAAAGGAGCTCACGGAGGACTCGTGTTCTGAGCTCTGTAAACTACTGACTCATCCGAAACCCTTACAGAGTGTCAGACCTAGAGTGTGCAGCAGAGAAGACATTTATCATAATCATTAAGCTAAAAGCAAAATAACTGAACCAAGAGTCTCTTCACTGGACAATGTTCTAGAAAACAGAGTTCGCCGTCTCCTGCAAAGTCAATCGCCAGGACCGTGTTTCCGTAAGTTACAGCAGAGCAAACCTCACCCATCAAATTAAGCTAAATGTTCAAGTATCGCATTTCTCTTCCTGGAGTGATTTTAAATTGTTTTCACAAAGAACTTGAGGAATGTGTTGCTATTATATAGAAGTCTCTCAAGTGGACTTTGGAGTTAGCGGAACTGGGGTTGAGCAGTAGGTTAGATTGCATGTTACGTGGCTGGAGTGATTTGGTTCCGCTCTGGGAAGGCCCTCGCTCCTGTCCTGGGATTCCTCCCCTCTCGGATTAATGTTTGAGCCTAAAAACTGCAACCTCAGAATGGAAACTAGGAACCAATCTCCTTTTCTTGTACAAAGTGGAGTTTGCTTTTTCATGGCAGCAAACCGCACGTGTCCCAGATCGCAGTGCTGGCAAGTTGTTGGCGTAGCTCTGGGGCACCATGAAAGTGGGGGCACAGGGGGAGCCCACGGCGGGCGCAGCCTGGACCAGCCCTGCTCCACTGCCGGCCCTGCGCCCCAGACACGGAGCTCTGTGGCGGGAGGCGGCAGCGTGCCAACCTGCAGAGGGGTGGCAAGAGGGGCACCAGGAGGAACCCACATGTTCGGGAGGCACACCGAGCTGCACTCGAGTGCGCGGGAATATTGCCTGGACTAGAGGGGCTTCGAGACTGCCGATAAAACAGATTTTAGGATACTGAACGGAGAACGAGTGCCTCAGGGACAGCCCCTCAGCACGTCTGCATCTTTAGTTACATGTTTCGTGGTCTTAATAGCGTTGATATCTTAAGATCCTCTCCCATGGTTTTTGGTGTGTTAAAATTTTGCTTACCAGAACTCTTAAATCCTGTAAATTACTGTTCCAAAGGTGTCAAAAGTTGTTGGAAAGCAAGCTTGTTAGTGAGCCTTAGGAACTGGAAGTGATTTCAGTGGGAAATTCTCCAGGCTGTAGGTCACCCTCTGCAACAAACCCCTCTACTCAGCCCGGGCGCAGTTCGGTCCGTACAGCTCGTGGGGACGCGGAAAGGCCGTTGGTTGTTTTCTGGGTCCTTGATGGGTGTTGTTGAGCAGACGGGTGGCAAAGCCGTAGTCCCTGGCAGTTACCTGAGTCAGGGCAAGGTTATGGCGGGAAGGTGCTCCTGTCCCCTTCACTCCCGGGGGTCCCTGTGTGTCCCGCACCCAAACCTGCCCACCGTGCAATGGGGGCAGAGCTGCTCCTGCGCGGGTGGGACGGTCCGTGCCAGGGGGATTCCCGCACACAGACCTCTTGTTCAAACGCTCTGGTGCACGTCGGGTTTTGACAGATCTGTAGATGTTGTACGAACGAAAGTCTGAGCAGCTTCGTAACAGCAACGAGCAACAATAATGGTCACAAACGTGGATTAGTTTCACATATCATTTACTTCGGCTTTGGCTTTATGCCACATGCAAAGGGATCTCGTTCCTAGAGGATCCCTGTGGACAGGAGCGACCCTCGCGGGACAGTCCTTTGCAGCCCCTGCAGACGGGAGTGAGGAGCGTGCAGTTTGGGAACAGCCCGTGCAGTTCCTGTGCCAATGTCGGCTGGAGCTCTCCTCGGGTGCACACGTGCGGTGTGATCTGAGCCATCCTGGGGCTCCGCGGCTCCTGCACCGCAGCGTTTGCTGGATCTGGCTGCCCAGAGGGCACCTGCCCATGGGAGTATGTTGTGACCAAGCCCGTCTTTCCCAGGAAAAGGGGCCACGGTGTGCCGGTGTGGGTAGGTCCCAGGTGCCCGCTTCTGGCACAGCCACGCCGGGGGCACAAACGTGCACCAGCTGGACCCGGCTCCCCAGCGCTCATGCCACGTCGCCCATCAGCTGCTGGAGAAACGCGCGTTTCCCGCTGGCGGGCAGAGCCGCAGGCGCTTC